GCAGCCGCTCGCGATTCCTTTTCAGTATGGATCGTTTCTGCTGGACAGCGTTAAGCGCAAACGCGAGGGGGAGGGTGGGGTGGGGGTGGGGCTGATGAGGATGGAAAAAGTGGGGGCATAACTACCTACCGTATGACCCGCGTTTTGATCAAGACCAACGGTTTTTTTCTTTTTCATACGAGGGCATGGTGGAGTGCAGTGTGATCTGATCCGCATCTAACTGATTGCATTCGTGAGACCATCGCACCCCCGCTCCACCACCACCACCACCACCACCACCGCCGCCGCCAGGAAAATAATTTTCGCGGGAAATTAGAGAACGTGAAGCATAATCTGTTCGCATGAGGACAGACAGACTGTTGGGTTTCGATTACTAATTCCGAACAATGTTTATCATTCTGTTATCCCCGCTTGTAATGATTAATCGGGGCTGAGTGTGAACAGTAAACAGCACATGATTGAAGTCGTGTGGAATTGTCACGCGAGCACTGCTGTGTTCCCATTTTTCACCATCTCTGTCCCCCCCTCGCCCCGCGTAGATCGCTAGGTGAATGTATGGTACAGTTCTCCCTTAGCCCTATCCTGTTCTATATCCTCCAAATACTATACTATACTGTCGCTTGGTCTCATGACATCGTTTGGATAGCATACACTGCTCAGCCTCGATCGACCAACCGAAAGATGGACTTTAATTGCCATTTTGTAACGACTACTTGGCTTTTATGCCTCAAAGAAAGCAGATCCTAGTGGTGCAGAAAATTCCCCTAGCTTCATTCAGCGACCGTTGTTGGTCTGTTGTTTTCTCTTTGTGTGGCTTCTCTGATTATTCAATAATTTTATCTATTCCCATTTTAAAACCCATCGCCCCGTATTTTTTCGCATCACTCGTCTTCTCTCATAGATGTCCTTCTCTGTTACGCATATTTTTGCGTATTTTGGAATCCAATTTGCTCGCTTCTCGCTCGCACTGGAAGCATCGATTAGTCGAGCGAATAGTGATCTCCCCTGCATCCGCGACCGCCAGCACCCATCCAAACACAGCTAACTCTACTGGGTCCAACATCCACTTGTCCAGTATCACATCCGGTGTCCGACCGATCTCGGGAACATCTGGTGGAAATGCCGCGGAAAACATGTCGGCTGACGGGACGAACGTTACGGCCCAAGGCAATTCACAACTCACCGTGTCCGATGAAGAGTGTGAACGACTCTGTTCAAACATGTTGCTCACACAGAATGCAACAATTGTACACATGTTACTGGAGTACTGTCTACCTACAGAGATTGAACGGGTAAGATTGTTCGTGTGTAGTAGTTAACTGTGAGGTTGTCAAAATGTGATAGAACATCCATGTCCCACGTATTTCTTACCAATACTGATTTGACTACCAGCTTCTGAAGCGACAATAGATAGAATTCATTTTTTTATTATCTGCCTGAAGTGCTTTGGATCCTATGGTCCGAGGTTTGAACTCATTCACTGCCATTCAACTTTTGTGGTAGGCAGCTTTGTTCTCATTCGGTTCAATGCTAAACATAACTTAGTGGGGCCCTGTTCAAGTCCTGGTTACCGGTTTCCATCACTGAATAGCAGGTCATGGCGATTGTGGTAACCACCCTGTCTGGTATTCATCACACATAAATGTGTGTATAATTAAAAAGGAAACATCGCCTGTCATAAGGTTTTTCTCTTCCTTGTTCTCTGAACCTGTGCATTCTCATTTTAAATGCGTTCATTGATCAGCTTATACCAGTTCTCCACGTTGATGACCACTCCACTCCACTGCGGCCGATCCGACACAGTCGTGCTTGCTGGTACACGCTCCGATTTTTCGTCTGCTTCTGTCTCGCCAGTCGCTGAAACCCTTTGAGATTCCATGAACTGTGCGCCCGTGTGTGTGTGTGTGTGTGTGGCGAGAGAAACTTGACCACGGCCGTACGGTTTGAGAATAATCCGATTAGTCCACCGAGTGGGAGGTCGAACATGTCTGTTGGGGGATTTAACCTCGGCAAACCGATCGTTTTTGTATTCCGTCTTTTCGCGGAATAATGATGCTTTACTAAACCTTGTTTCGCAGCACGATTCGAGTTGTACGGTAATTTCCGGTACGGGCCCACCCGCGGACCCGGATTGAAAGACAGACAATTAACACATAGAAATTTTACCCTGAGACCCGCCACCACCGCGGTGGTCATTGCCCCGCATGGGCCCAAAATCGATAGTAACGCTTGTATGCATCAACACGATCCGCCACTAATCAGACAGTTATCTTAACGCTCGCTTAAATGTAGTGTCCCATCTTCCTACCGTCGGTTCCAAAGTTTTCGCCTATGGGGTACATTCAGTGCGACGGCAGCTTTTCCCCTAATTGGGTTAATCGGCTAGACTTCCCGCCATCCCAGAGCGAGACATTCCCCACTGACAGCACCCTGTAGCAAAGCCAGCTTTTGGCCTAAACTACTTCAGACAGGGTGTCTTGCTCATCTACGCTCAGAACCGCTTCACTCACCAAAAAGGGCAGAACTGAGAATCGGACCCCCTTTGAGCTGCTGTCCAGCCTGCACTGGTTCTCACCGGGCAAAACCAAGCCGGATAAAAACCAATGAGCGAGGATCTGACACGACCTACTGAGTCGATGTCCGCTCTTAAAGACACACCGCCGGGTCTCACCATGGTGTCACCACCGCTGGTAGCAAGGAGGCCAGTCGGCTCCATGCTTGGTCGCTACTCTTAGCTGAGCCCACAGGGCCCGCCCGCAATGTACCGGGAAATATTCCCCTATGTCTGAGACGTTCATTCTCTCTCTCTCTCCCTCCATTGCACTATCTTGTTTGACCGTGTTCATCCATTGATCTTGACTGCCGTCGCCTGCTCTCTTTTCGTATCTAATCGCATTTATTTAGAAAATGTTAACCGTGCTATTGTTCATTTCCAGTAGTGTTTTTTTTAATTACACACCTAAGTGTGATGAACAGCAGACGGAGCGAACTCCATAGTCACGAGGACCTAATGTTCAGTGGTGGAAAACGGCAACCTAAGCCTCGCGGGACTTGGAGTGGCAAAGCACATGAGGTCCCGATAGGTTAAGTGTGATATTGAACCGGACGACAGCGGAGCTGGCTACCACCAAAGTCGGGTGGCAGTGGTGGGACTCGAATCTTGGACAACAGGGTCCAAAGCACGACAGGTGACAGCGACTAAACCGCTGAGCCACCATCACCCTCTCTGATAAATTTCCTCAGCCCTTTCTTTTGAATACACTATTCATGAACCGGGAATTCTTTTATAGGGGCTACGTTGTACGGTGGCTGCCACAACAGCATTGATCCCTTTTAGTTCGTGATCTGCTATGTCCGGACAGAGCCGAAACCGGATGTCACAGTCTAACACTGACTTATCGTCATAGGTTGATTCGTTTGTGTTTGACGGAAAGAAGTGCGTTCCGTTACAATATGATCCCTTGAATTCGTTGATCGAAAGTTGCCGCTGTCACGCCTCTGCGGTTTGCGCAAATAAACTTTCTTGTCAGTTCTCCTCCGCTGCTTCTCATTCGCCGCTGCAATTGAGTCTGATTTTCGTCGCAGGTATCTAACCTTGGTGGTAGTCTGTAGTGATGCCTTCTGTCGTTCATCTCATCCAGTTCCAGGGTTTAGGCAAACATTATGTTTCAACACCCAACGACATAATATACTCTCCTGTGCTCGTCAAAAACATGCCATTACGCCCTTACGTACATGGACTAACTGTGATCTTGTGAATCGTGTTCCGAACCAAAGTATAAATACCCTACGGGATTTGATAAACGAAGTCTCTGTAAGTTTTTTCCCATGGTAAAAATTTGAATTTGTGTGCTTCCAGTCAAGAAACCGCCAAATTAATCCATTGTGAACAGAATTTTTAGTAGGGAAAGTCTTCGCATTGTTTAATTAAATAAGGCTGAGAGTACGAAAGAGAACAGTTTCGAAAGGAAAGAATTGCAGCGAATCCAGAAGAATTTAGGGAGCACATTTCCTTTTCACCTTTTACTTTATCGTATTCTACTAGGCTTACTCATCGTTTCGTTGATTCGCTTTGGTTTAACTTCGTTCGGGATAAGATCCCGATTGAAATTGAAAGCCTCAAGGAGATCCGAGCGTCGGGTTTAGTGTGTTTGCTGCATGCGCTATATAGATATGGAAAGGACAGGATCCCGGAGGAGACTAAATATTGGCGACAAAGACATAAACGGGAACAGCACTGATCTCGGTCCCGTCTTTCGAACGTGACACGACACGTTCACCAACAAACAGATTTATTGAACAAACGCGATATGACGCAACTCTCAGGGAGTGCGAATCGCGCAACCGCCCCCTCTCATCATCATTGACCGATGATCAACGATTCTTGATGTGAATCCCTTTTTGCAACTTATCAAAATAATTAAGCATTATATGTAAATATACTAAGCGATAAACATTGCGTTTTTTCAATGCATCCCAATCCCTGTCCTCGTAGAATCGCGAGTCGGAAGTGACAGTACTTCGTGAAATCCGGAATATCATTTGCACCTACATTCATTACATGTTCATTGCTGAACCGGCCCTGGCGGATGTGATCGTCTGGCAGGTACGTCAGTCATGGTCTTGGCAGTGATAAAAAAAAACTGTGTGATTAATCGAACCGGTCGTATTTTTATATATGTACTGTTCAATGATTTGAAACTGCTGTTTTTTTTCTGCCGTACAGTATCATTTGAGATGTAGTGAAATCTGGCCTCGCATAAATCTAGTGCAAGCTAGCCTTCTTGAACTCTCTCGCTCTCTCTCTCTCACTTTCCGTTTCCTGTGTATCTGATGAGCGGTATACCTCACCCACGAGGAATTCTCCACTGTTCTTCCCCGCCTCTTTATTCTCACCTGCGTACATGGTAAGAAATGTCTATCGATGGATGCCTCCTCTACTATCAGTATGTGGTTTTATGCTAATGTTTTCACTTACCGATTGGATTCGGAGTCTTCTGATGCAGTCCTGTTCAACTCGAGGATGGTTCATGATTGTTTGATAGGTGCTCCTTCGAACGAACACACTACGGGCAGATA